TATTCCTGTGAGTTTTCATTTGTCGAATGAACTGTTTGTCAAATACAGAATACATATTTTAGAACAATTTTCTTTTTAAAATGTGGATGAAATGTTTTGCTTTTTATGTATTTTTTATGTATTGTTTTTGATTTGATAACTTTGAACTAAACAGATTTTCTACTAGCTTCAGATCTTGATCAAAGTTTGGCACCCAGTTCATAGGAGTGCTTATATTGATTTTCTGACATCTTGTTTTCTGTAAAGATTTTATTGGTAGGTTTGCAAATGTGTATGAGTTGGTTTTGAAACCCAGTATGGGATTCTGAGATTTGATTCATTGAACATTGAACACATACAACAATGCATATTTCCACTGACATCAGTGACCTTTGATGTGTATCACCAGTAATCAGTCAAGTAGAAACAGTCAAAATATTTTATCAGATTTTCTCAATTTTTGCATGATATTTTCATACAGGACATCTGTTGTTCAAACTCAGGGAAGACTTTATACTGATGAATAAGGTGACCAAGTTTGATGAAGTTTGGAATAGAATTAGTAAAGTTATTATGCACACAATAACAATTATTAACGACGACGACAATGACAACGACAACAACGCCGGACAAAATTTGTCCCTTAATATACCTTTCCCTTCCATCTTTGATGGTACGGGCAAGGTAAAAACTGATCAGGTCTGCTCAATGTCACAGACCATCTAAGTACCAAGATTCATTTAAATATGATTTGCATTTGAGATATCGATGAAAAATTATCAATTATTATGCAAAATAGGTAATTAAAATTTTAACCCCAAACTGAAAATCAGATATACATGTAAATACCCTCTGATCACAGCAATGTTCATCAAGGTATAACGATCTCAAAGTGGGATTGTGTTTACTTACTCTGATATGTTTCTCAGCAAGAATAGTGTCCAGTGTGTGTTTGAATTCAAATCTCTCACCAGCTGATACAAAGTCAGATGTACTTGGTTGAGCGCAATGGTCTGTCACCTCCTCCTTGAAAAGAAAACAAACTGTATCATACACATGTATGTATTTGCTCTAACAGAAGTGCATCTTTCTGACAAACAATAATAAAATCAAAGAAAGCTTAGAAAGAACTCCCATGTGCTGAGAGTATTGGAGACACATTAAATATAATTCGAAATTACTTAGCTGAAAACTAATTATGCAAATCAGAAAATTAATATGACCAGATTTGAGTGTAAAACTAATGAGGTCTGCGCAATGTAACAGAAAATCTATGTCTCCAAGTTTAATTGAAATGTGATTAGAACCAAAAA